TGTATCATGTATATAAATCTATTCAAATATTATACTACCTCCTAATATATGTCGTTTTGATAAGTTGCACACTAATTAAGAATATTTTTTTTTTGTCAATAATAACTTTAGTTAATGAAGATAGAGATGAATGTTATGAGAAAAAATGAAGAGTGAATATGAAAAGACGTAATGTATTTATTGGCTAAAAGAGGATAATAATGAAAAAATATGTACAAAAGATCCAAAACGACATTTATTGGGCAAATAGTTGAAAAAGCTAGAATGACATTTTTTAAAAATAGGAGGGAGTACTTGGTTTAAAGTCCAATATCACTTTTATTTTTTTTATCACTTTATTTTTTGTTTGAAACTTTTTATTAGTAAATATAAATATAATACAAAATGTGCAATCAATAAAAATGTACAAAGTATCCTAGAAAATATAAGAAGAAAAATTAAAGAAAAATAAATAAATAAATATTATAATTACACATATTTAGAAATTAATGGGGCGCTGATTATATATCAATATATATAACACACACATACACACAATTGTAACTAATCCAATTAAAAAAAAAAAAAAAAATCCTTTTTTTTTTTTTTTTCAATTAGTTGCATAGAAGAAACAGAATATAGAGCTATTCTAGCAGCACCAAACTGGCAGCTCTATGTCCAAAAAAAACAACCATTTAGACAAACAAATACCAAGAAGAATGTTCTGATCTCTTATGTACAAATACAGTACAAAGAATGCCTTTTACAGTTAGAGATAAATATCCAAGGTCAAACCGATGTACAACGGGAGAAGGAAACTCAGCCAAAATGGTAACAAAAACTGAAGCTCATTGGATCTCACAACAAAACACTCACAAAGCAATAGAATAGAAACTTCTAACACAACCACCAACTTGAAGAATTACCTCTTAAATAAAGCTCCCTCAGCTCCCGGATTCTAACAAATCGATATACCATTGCACAATAAGGTGAAAATTCTGCTTTCCCCGCGCCTGCCTCCAAAAGAATACATATGAATCTAGCTTTACGAAATTACCATCACACGAAACCAGTAACAAGAAGCAAATCCTACTTTCCTCATCAAAACACTACTGCCAAGTTGGGGCCCACATCATAATCAACCAACCCATAGATCTTCCACAAACTCATAGCTCGAAATCTCACACAACGCCATTAGAGAAAATCGATCAAACGCGCATAAAAACCATTATAAATGAGATAATTAATGGAGCCTCAATCTTAAATGAGCCTACGCTGCCTCATCCCTTTACCAAAGTGCGGTTGCATCAGGCGAACATACAAACTATTCTTCGCCATTAGAGTGTCGTGTGTCCCTTCTTCTACGATTCGACCACCGTTAAGAACAACTATATTGTCAACGTGTCTCATCATAGCCGCTCTATGAGCAATAAGAATCGTGGTCTTGTTCCCCATTACCAGAGTATCCAGAGCTTCCTGCACGACCCTGCTCGACTCAGATTCAATCGATGAGCTGGCTTCATCCAACAGCAAAATAGGCGCGTTTTTAAGAATAACCCGAGCAATCGCGATCCTTTGCTTCTGTCCGGGCGTTAAATCGACACCCCTCATCCCGACATGAGTGTCGTAACCGTGAGGCAAACTGCTTATGAAATGATGAGCATTTGCTATTCGCGCGGCTTCTTTCATCTCGGCTTCACTTGCATTATGCCTAGCGTATATGATATTTTCTCTTATGGTTGTTGCGAATATGATGGGCTCCTGCTGAACGAGACCCAGGTGGTTTCTTAGCCATCTCAAGTTGTAAGATTTCAAATCTCGCCCGTCGAGTAGTATCTGACCGGCAACTGGATCGTAGAATCTCTCTATCAGCGATATAATTGTGCTCTTTCCCGAACCCGAAACGCCAACGACAGCCACAGTTTGACCACCATTGACTTTGAGACTAAAATTGCTGAGTATCAAGACCTCCGGCCGAGTGGGATAGCAAAAGTCGACGTTTCTCAATTCGATGCTTCCATAAACGTTTGCCGGCTTCAAGGCTGAATTGTCGTCAGGGTCGATTTTAGGGGTTCGGTCGATAATCTCGAAGACGGATTTTAAGGATTTCCTCCTTTTAAGAATGTATGGAGCCAAACCGAAAGGCTCGACCAATGCGAATGTTGCGAAAGAGAATACCATGTACTCTTTTAGTGCTGTGGCCAAACTCATGTACCCTTTCTTCACAGAGAGAGCAGTGTACCAAAGGAGAAGAGCATTGCAGGCAAAAAGAAGGAACTGAGAAAAGCCGAATGCAAAACCGATAGCCATTCCTTGGAGAAAGCTTTTCGTGAATATTCTCCGAAGTTGAACTCTATAGAGCTCCATTACTTTGTTTCCAGCGCAAAATGCTACAACGGTATAAATATTTCTAACAGCATCCTCCAAGACCAAAGAAGCTTTCCTATGCATCTCCTGGATACCCTTTGAAAATCCAGCAAGCCACAATTTCTGAAAGATAATGGTGCAAACCGCAATTATACATAAGATACAGAAATAATTCAAGTGAACTTGGATTTCGTGGCGTATGCTGAATGTTTATAATGGACTTCCAAATGGAAATTAATGAAAAACATATATCCATCATTTAAGAGTGGGTGTTGTTATTAAGTGTTTCAAAATAAAACCACCTCATTTTCAAGCACTCAGTAATTCTGCAGGGAAGTTTGTGTGGTGTCCAATCCCACACAGGTTATATGCAGGAGTTTCACTTGTGGAGATGCAATTTCATATATGAAAAAATCAATTTACATATTGCATACCTGTGCTATAGCAGAAACTATAAGAACAGGCAGAGTAGCTAAGGCCACAAGTGCCAACCGCCACTCCAAAAACATTCCAATGAGAACAGCAACAACAACAGCTGCACTATCTTGTATGAATATCGAAAGTCGATTGCTGAAAGAAGCTCTCACAAAAGTAGCATCATTAGCAAGTCGCATGGACAGGTTATCAGCACTGTTCTCTTCTTCATCGAACCACCCAACTTCATTCCGAAGCATTGCTGTTGGCAAAGGAAGCCACAAGACATGAAAAGACATTATTATAATCAAGTTCATAAATTCTAAGAGAGATATATATCCAAAAGGACATAATAAATAGACAAGAATATCGTATATTAAATTCCAGAAAGAATTAAGGAAGCAAATAACACACCAGAGAACATCATTCTTCGAACGCGTTCAGTCATTTTCTCCCCCATTATACCAAAGTAAAAGTGCTGCAAAAAGTTGGCAATTACAGTTACAATTCCCATGCCAGCAATGATTAAGCACCACCTGTCTATCTCTTGCCGTACATGATGCTTCTCATCTGTTCTGTAGTATGCTGTTACGATAAGTGCAATAACATAAGCAAGAACAGGATTGAATGAGCCGAAGATGGCAGCACCAGTGCTCCCTAAAACAGCATAGAGCCACTCGGCAAGGCTAAGCTCCACAAGCCTCCAGAAGGATGGCTCCCCCAGAGAAGAGGAGGTCCCCTTCGCTTCTTTCACAGTAGTAGGAACATTATCAAATTGTCTAAGTGGTCGGCTAAATGTTTGTGAATGAGAACGCTCATTTTTGGGATCCGATGTCAAAAGTGGGGAAATAGGAGACTCGGGATCTGAAGCATTTGTTGGTCGCTGTGCGGAATGAACATCAATCTTAGGCAACTCAGGTAGTCGCATCTCAAAACTATCCTGCCTCTTTATCGTTGGCTCTTTATCTGTCGAACCATTTTCAATCATTTCTTCTGGGGGTGGGCTAAGAATTTGGGGGGACTCCTGTGAGCTATACGTAATATCAGTAGGCCGAAACATGTGGTGGCCAGCAACTCTCTGGAGAGATGGTGACTTGGCCATTTTAGGGGATGATGGTTCTTGAAAAATACTGCTTGCACTTGAATCCTTTTCGATCTGAAACGCGGCAGTTTCTTTGTAGGTCCTCATCGGCATCCTAAATGTACATATGGGCAACCATCAATAATGGTAATATTATGCAGAAGTATCACAAAAATAACCAAATACAGAGGTCCAACACAGTACTGACGGTATTACAGGTACATTACTTTTATTTGTGAACAGAAATCTAGACATAAATCAATAACATGTTGAATAAAATCATTGGTTAGCTCCAGCAATACCTCCGAGGAAGTTTTGTAGCCTCTTCACATTTGAGAAGCTCGGCATAAAGGCCATCTAAGCTCATCAATTCCTCATGTGTACCCATTTCAACAAGTTGACCTTCCTCCATCACAGCAATATAATCAGCATTTTTAATAAGACTTAGCCGTCTAGCAATTATTATTGTTGATCTTCCCAACATGAGAACATCCAAAGCCTCCTGAACTGATCTCTCAGCTTCGAAATCAAGTCCACCCGTGACTTCATCCAGAAGCAGAATAGATGGATTAGACAGTACAGCCCTAGCAACAGAAAGTTTAATTTTCTGTTCCTCAGTCATCACTAGAGAAGCCCGACCAACCTGAAATTTAAGTTTCCATTTGTTAAGAGCTACACAAATTGAACCAAGAAAAAGAAAAGCCCAGGAATCAATATTGGCAGTTAAGTCACCTCTGTATCATATCCTTTATCTAGAGAACTGATAAATGCATGTGCATGTGCTATTTTGGCAGCTTCTTCAATCTGATCTAAAGAGACATTCCGCCCATAAGCAATATTGTCTTTGATACTTAAACTCAGCAACGCAGGTTCCTGGGTAACTAAGCCAATTTGGCTCCTTAACCACTCCAACTTCAGATTTTTTATATTTTCACCATCCAAGAGGACTTCACCTGCCAGGCCACAAGTAGAAGTTAAAAATGAATTTCAGATATGAAGAAGATACAAATGAGATAGTTCCAATAGATGCGAAATTAACATGGAATTATACCCAAGGTTGGATCATAAAATCTCTCCATCAGTGGAATAATACTGCTTTTCCCAGACCCATTTCTGCCAACAAGTGCTACAGCCTTTTTGGCTGGCACAGTGAGATAAAAACCACTTAAAATTGGAATTTCAGGGCGAGACAGGTAACTGAAATATACATTTCGAAACTCTATATTTCCTTGAACAGAAGCAAGAGTAAGCCCGTCATGATTGACTGTAGAAGATGACCGACTAATCATCTCAAACAATCTGTAGGCAGCAATTCTCCCTTGTTCAAAAGAATAAAAGTTTGTTGCCGCTTGATTCAATCCACTGTCAAACACAAGTCCATTCAATACATGAGCACAAGTCACACAAGTAAGAATGACGAATAAATTTGATAAAGGTGCTTACAGTCCGCTCAGTATCACAGCAAACAGGGCTGCTATTATTTCTCCCCCATGGGCTCTTTCATGAGTAACAAGAGACCTGCCTACCCATAGTTGCAAGGCACATGAACAGATTGCAAGGCCATATGTGAAACCAAGTCCAAGCCCTTGAACAAGACTTATCAGTATTCCATATCTAAGTGTCGCTTGAAGTGAAGTAGCGTACGAATATTTTGCCAGCGTTTCATTGGTAAATGAATACAAAGTTCTAATATAGGAAACTGCCTGAAAGAAGGGGAAAACAAATAAGAAAGCACGTGAAACAAACCTAAAACCAAGAAACAGAAGCCAGCATAAAGGAAGGAAGTTTATTCATAAACCCTGGAATTTAATGGACTTTGTTTCTTTTTGTACCTGAAAGATATGAATCACAATAAACATCAATGAATCTTCACCACTTTTCCACATAAACATTGACTATCAAAGATTTGTCATTATAAAGATTCTATCTGACACTTTCAGATTACGGAAAGGAATAAATTGCACTTCTTTTTATTTTTACTTAACCCGATTGAGTAAAGCCATAACATATTGATGGTAAGAGCAGTACCGATATGCTGGGATGAAAAAGTCATCACATCAAGGTTCTCAGAATGGCCACCCAACCGGTGAAGCTAGGTTCAATAATTCACTGGTCCGATTAGTGGTTTACAGGTAGGACTGGTGTTAAATTTATTGATACTTTTAAATATTATATAGCACTTTAAATAATAACTTTTATATAAATAACCATTAGTTTAAATATTCAAATAATTTGAAACACGCAAATGCCATAACTACATGATATAATACTTTATACATAGCCAGTTTATATAATGTGTTTTCGTTATGTTAAAAATATATTTAAATATATTAAAACTGATTTCTATATATAAAAAAAAAAGGCCAATCTGATTGGCCAATTTTTGACTGGTTCTGACCGGGGTTTGTTGGTTCAACAGGACAATGACCAGTTCTAACGTTTAATCGGTTCCCTCCAATCACTCATGTGATTCCCAGTCCGACCGACCAGCCGATTCGATCTGATTTTGACAACCATGCATCACATGCACATAAATATCCATTAAATTATTTCTTAATCTTTGTGCAAAACCTAAGACACACAAATAATCAGAAGGAACATCTATCTGCACTAGCGGATCCATATATGGGCTAGCCTAGGCAATTGCTTAGGCTGAATATTTTGTGCTAACTACACAATTCATACACAATTCATATAGTTAACATTGTGTTAATTAAAAAATTATATTTAATACTTGTAAAAAATAAATACAAGTTTTTTATTTTAAAATTATAAATAAATCTTACAAAATAGCATTATCATTTTATTTTTATTTTTAATTTAAAATGATCCACCTCACCTATTAGATTCGACGGTCTCATATATACAATATTTTTAGTACTTTAGGCTTGATAGAAAATTAGGTTTGATAGAAAATTTAATTGTTTTTCAATTATAACTGATAAATATTTAAATTTTTATTGATAGAGATCAGATTGATATAATTATTTTGATTTATACATAAAATATTATTGCCAAATTATGGATCGTCAAAATATGACTAATTTAATTATTACATATAACAATTAATAACAAATATAAACGTTATCAACTTTTAAAATATATTTGCAACTAAGTTAACCAAGTGTATAAATCTAAAAATATTGGATAAAGGTACATATTTATATGGACTATTTCGAATCCTTAGAAATTCACATATAAATTACAAAGCGTTGGAAGTGACAAGGAAAACCTCTACGTTTATATGTAAGAAGATAATCCATAAAGGACTCTTTATAAAATAACATAAACAAAAATGATGACATGTAGGCTTTTCTCAAACTAATAAATTATATTTCAAAATGACTTGTTTATAACTTATTACAAAAATGAAGGGAAACGGGTTATAAAATATTTTTGGTATATTTCTTAATAATAATAAAAACGCAGAATCAAATAACATACCCTATTCTCCATTTTATTTTTGAGCATCAAGTCAAAGGCAAATTGTAGAGAACACCTCAAGACCCGATTGCTTCAACGATTTATATAGTTGTTAATATAAGTACTTTGTGCAATAGGTTAAAAATTTTCTTCAACTATTTTTTACCGTAACCCCTGTCTATCTCTGCACACGAACTTAATTTGTGAATATGAATTTAGTAAGCTACCAAATGTATTAAGGACAAACTTATCTACATTAACATTGTCTAGTAATGTGCGTATATACACACATGCACAGATTAATTATATGTAAAAAACAAAGAAAGAGTAACAATTGGCAAAAGCAAACTCAAAGAAAGTTCGACTAGCAGGCGTCAGAGGCATTAGCAGATGGACAAACAAAACAAGCGTGTTATTCACTCATAAAGAACATTATGCGTAAGACACACAAAAAGATCAAATAAAGCCCTTGGTGATCATTTATTCAAGATCTTCTCTCACTCCCGAATATTAAGGTGTTGCATGGGCGCATTGCCTTCTATTAGGCATTTGACACTGATATTATATTATTAACTATTTGGGTCAATCTTATTGCTTGACAATGATGTGGTGGCAGATATACTTAATTATTTTATGATCCCAGTGTATTGATGCAATAAGACTCCAAGCTGATGTGTCAATTCAATTCTTGTGTCTATTATCGCATTTAAAAGCATAAAAAACATTCCATAAAGTAAGAGATTTGGCATGCATTCCTAGCAGAAATCATAGAGATCACGATTCGGACCTGCTCCGCAATACTTGCGGCTTCAGCATACGCATCTTGGATATTTTCAGCGAGCCTGTGCAGAAAGATATTTGATATCCCTCCAGCAGCAACAATTAATGGACCACTGGCTAAAGTAATAAGAGCTATCTGCCAGCAGTTGACAAATCCAATGATGAGACCGCTAAAGAAAGTGGCCATATTGTGAATATAGTTTCCTACCTGTCACATTAAAGCATGCTCGTATGTGATTTGAATCTTTTGACCAGCCAAACTAGCTAAAGCATCACTAAAAAAAGGAAATTGAAGGATGAAAAGATACTTTTTCACTCAGGGCGGACTGGATGAGCAATACATCACTCAATACTTGGCTCACAATGTCTCCATTGTTCCCATAAGTATCAAAAAAGCTCATGTCTTGATTAAGTAGAACTTCGACATATCTTGACCTTATTACAGCAGTCTGTCGTTCTCCAGTTAGTATCCAGCAGGATACCTCTGTTTTTCGGAGAGAAATTCAGAAGTAAAGAAAAAATTTAAAAAAAAAAATCATATTAATTAGTAAGTGGAAGCCAGCAATGGGAATAGTATTTTGTATAAGATAGCAGAATACAAGCAGCAATATACACATGCAAGCTTACCAATCCAAGCCGCAACAAAAACTCCCACAGCAATGTAAACAATGATTAAAGTGAGCTGCAGGAATTCCAAAACAAAGTCAGCTGAAAACAGTGTGAATAAACCCTTCATAAAATAATTCACATCAGACAACGGTATAAATAAAGCTCCATCTCATGCCCCTTTCCAACAAAAAGTTTACATTTACAGTTTTACCATTGTTCTAGAAGTCGTTAGGGCCCGCTAGGCCCTCGACCAGCATCTAGCGTCTAGAGCGCCTAGGCAGGAACTAGAAATAAATATTAAGTACCTTTATTTTTTATTTACTTTCATCAACTTATAATAAATCCACACACCTAAGTCCAAATAAAATATTTATATATTATAAATAAAACATGATAACAAAATAATGTAATTAGTATTTTAAGAAAATGGAAAATATGCCTCCGACCCGTGCCAATTTTTTCAGTTGATTCATGCAAATTAGGTCGATTTATAGTACAGTGAGTTTTATGCAGAATAAAACCTAAACAACATAACTTGACCAAAAACCCACATTCGCTTTATTATCATATACATTTTGCTTTATACTTATAGAACATCGGTGGTACTTTTTTTTTCTTTTGACTTCATGTTCAAGTGTTTAAATTGATTTAAATTGACATCTCTTTTTGCAATCCTTATTTAACTGCCTTGAAACATCATAATTCACTAGGGACATAAATAGCTCTCGGTTTCCCCCAACTAAGACATCCATCTCAAGTTTTGATGTCCAGACCCTAGGAATCAAATCTTAGAAATGCTGCTCCAACCCAGACTATTATATGGGTTTAAAATACAGTTTAACTTCTTCTTTTTTTCTCTTCTCTTTTCTCATCTAACAAATGCTATTTTCATTTCGTCAATATACTTGCCTACTTATTATATCAAATCTGACAGCCTTGAAGAACCTCAATGACTGAAGCACAGCACCTTCACCCTTGTGAGCACCAACCATGATAGACTATAAAATGTATATATTCACACAAAATTTACAGGTAGTTGAAGCATGATCCTTGCGGCACTACAATCTTGTCCCAACGTCTATTTCCTAACCATTGCCCTCTAGGATTCACACCAAGCTAGATAACTTGCAGCTTAATTCAGTCACAACTCTCAATTTACAATAATACACGAACTTACTTTTCCCAAACTCAAAAAATCTTTGCTCAAAATTATATATGAGAGCAGAAAAGCTCAAGAATGAGTTAATATTAAAAGGAAACTAGTGTCCCATCAGAGGCATAATTCATTCAATGTGAATTTCATAGTAAAAAAATGACAGTCTACCACGTGCAATTGTTTGTAAAACTGACCAACAAAACAGCAACCAAAAATCGGTATGTTACAAATACAACATGAAATTCAATAAATAATGACCTTATATAATACAAAGAAATATCCAACACCCTTGGATTGTGCTTTCGTCAGAAAATTAAGCACGTATATAAACAAATACCATGAATAACAAAAATATACATTTTAAAAATCAAAATTAAGCGACTAAATAAATAAAGAACTACTGAAACTAGAGATTCCTTGAATTCGTTAGAAGAAAGTGAATAAAACTCATTGTACTGGCTCGTAGATTTTGTTCCAATTTTGATTAAAGAAACCAGTTACTGAATGATGATTTCATAGAACCAGACATCAGTCACGCTAATTCCCCTAGATCACAATTGTCCTGGACCTTTCCAGAGACCAAGAAGTGAAAAATTGGGATGTAATCCTCAACTAGCACCACTAATGCGAGAAATACACATTGATATCTGATAACTCAAAATTTCTGTAATGTTGCAATCTAAATAATCAACCAGTCACTATTATGGAAATGAAGCAGCTTAATTGCAGCCTACTTATCAAAACCAGACAGACGTTTCTATCTACCGAGAACATCAGAATCAACCATATAGTTTCAAAGCAGGCACGCACAGACAAGTCAGTCGGGCGTTATCACATAGATAAAATCCCACAATCAAGGAAGTCTAATGAAATGCCAAAATCAGTAAACTCCATCCCAATCACTACAGCATATACTGAAGTTAAAACTCAGCTAAAAAACGACAAAAAGTTTCCTGCAAAATAGAAAGTAAACTAGACTATTCTCGAAGTACCTCTGTGAATTCGTGGAAGAGCCGATCATCAGATCGGTCAGGGCCCTGGAATCGAAGCAGCTGAACAATTTTTGCAAAATAATGCAAGTAGACGACGAGGGCAGTACCATGGGCGGCAGCTGCAACGGACCCCACAAACATTAGAAACCAGTCGAAATTGTCCGCACACGCAAAAAGCCTAGAGAAGGGCACGGCCGCTGGCGGGGGCTCCATCTCCTCACCCTCTGGGTCGATCTCCTCCTCCACCTCCACCGGCTCAGCTTCCCCTGTGCCCATGTCCATGTATGGCGAGGGCGACTCGGGCGGCTCCGATACTTCGGAAACGGGCGTCAATGGCTGGATATGCGGAGGCGACCAACCGAATAAACCCCTGGATATCATCATCTTGCCGAAACTCAAAGTAGGCTCCTCACTTTTCCGCTTATCCACCAAAACACACAATCGCACACAGTTGGATTGGCTTCAAGAGCCGCTGGCCAACTCTCGCTGACAATTCCACACCCCAAGAAGCAAGCAGAACCAAAACCCTACTCTAAAGAGTAGCGATACCCTCCTTGCTCGAAGCCCAGCTTCCCTTAAGCACGAAATGAAGATCGCAACTAGATCAGAGCAGATCGGAGGAATGGGCGGATTTTAAGGTTTGCTATGAATCTTTTTCCATCTATTTTGGTGGGTGGGTTGACTCGGTCAGACAAGGCGGAAGAAGTTGGGTTGACCCGGCAAGAACAGATTTTCTCCGTTGTCCCTGGCGACAACAAACGACGACGTTTGGTGAGTGCTCCTCCTGCTCTAGACAACGGTCGTCGGAGGATTGAACCATAAAAGAAAACTAGAGACGGAAAAGAAAAAAGTAGGTGAAGTGAAAAATGCATATGAAATACAGCTGTGCTACTACTGTACATGAGAATTATGAATATTGGGGACAGATATTGGCATTGCTTCTTTTCTTTTGTCAAAACCCACACTTTCAAATTTCAATTATAGGCAGATGCTACGGGTCTCGTTACGGAACCATTCAATCGATTTGTAACCGTCAGATCAATTATCTTCGACGGTTATATGGTGATCTAACGGTTACAAATCCCGACAGAATGGTTTCGCAACGAGGTCGTAGCATTTCCCTCAATTATATATGGTTTATTGCAAAAATTTTATGGAGATAGGATGATTTTCTTATGGAGCCCTCAATTACGTAATGTATTGACACTTGCATATATTGTAGGACACGTGTCAATATACGATTTGTGAATAATTGCGGATGGGTCTATAGAAAAACTGAGTTTATTGAAATGTATGGGAATATGACTTGTGCTAGTAAGAATTGAAAAAGAATGCACAAAGTATTACTAGAAACACATTGAAAAGTTAATGCATAAACTCGCATTTAAATCATTCAAAAAAGTCACTATTTTGGGAAAGTATGTGTACAATATTAATCTTAACCACTTAAATACATGAAGTTTGATATTGATCAACATTTTCATCTTTGATACTAGTGGGATGACATATTTTTCTAATGCTTTTAAAGGATAAAAGTGGTTGTAACATGTGTAAATTATAAAGTTTTCACTCAAAATTTTGAAATAGAGGTGGCCAAATTTAATTGATTTGAATCAAAATTGGATAGTTGTACTAGATTTTAAAAAGTTTTAAACTATAATCACAATTTGAATCATGAGCTGCAAAATCATGATCATACTACAAAGTTTCATCAAAGTCATGTGGTCTTGAAAGTCCAAAAAATTGAGTCCAAAACTAGATAGTGGAGAGTTACAAAATGGAAAACATATTAGAATCTAGAAAGCTAAAATATAATCGTAATTGTAGTCAAGAGTTGCAACAAGACAACGTAAGCCGTCGTATAATACCCTTTAATAAGCTCAGTCATAACGTGACTAACAATATCGTTATCGATATCGATCTAACAAATGATGACGAGCATACCACTAATAAGATAACTCATTGAGGGCATCTCCACCAATCAACCAACATTATACCACATTTTAATGTCACGTCAACATTCCACTATCAATGCTCTTTTTACATTTTCTCTTCCAACAACTTTACACTCACTACTCAATAATCTTGGACCCACAACTACCCCACCATCACTATCCCACTTTTACTAAATTAATAAATACAAGTGTGGAAACAAAAATAAAAAATTAACAAAAAAAAGTGACTGACAATTGCTGCCAAGTTGGATCAAGTAGGGGTGCACAATGTTCGGTTAACCGAGTCGAACCGACCGAACCAAAAATTTGGTTTGGACCGAAACCAATTATTTGGTTCGGTTTTCGGTTTACATTTTCCTAAAATTTCAGTTTTCGGTTCGGTTTGAATAATTGTGATCGGTTAACCGAATCGAACCGAAAACCGATTTATATACATATATATACATGTTTTTATTTATTCATATAAATTATACAAACATTAATTTACTTCAATGATTGATGATTTCCAAGCTTCATTGACCCCTAAAATTGCTCAAGCATTAACTTGCACTCAAAATTGGTTTCGTCATAGTACAAGTCACGGTTCGGATCCGAAATCTTCCGTTGAGGAGAATTTAGAATTTATTGAGAAGATTAAACAAGGTGATAAAAAATTATATTTTTTTGTTGGGATAAAACATCAAATTTTTTATTCAGTTAAAAATTCAAAATTTATTAATAATATTAATTATTTATTGCAATTAATCGAAAACCAATATTTATTGCAATTAATCGAAAACCGAACCTAACTGACCGTTGGATTTTCGGTTAAAAACCGAACCGAACTGTAAATTTCAGTTCGGTTTTCGGTTATGATAATGGACAAACCGAATTTTCGGTTAACCAAAAATTCGGTCAGTTCGATTCCGATTTAACCGAATGAGCAGCCCCAGGATCAAGGGCCCCATCTTTTTATCGTTGAACGCAGAAGAAACGGTGTAAAATTTTACACCTTCTCCACCAATAAAGCCAAGCATAATTCTGTCATTGGACTGACGTTACACCTTTGTTGGAGTTGCTCTGAACTATAATTGCAAGTTCTGTGATTGATCTCACACATGATATTCCCATTCAACCAAGTACACAAAAACATAAACTTGGTCGTCCTAGGAAAGCAGTTGGACCATCGTCATGAGTATCTGGTAAGTTTAATTATGTCTTTTCAATAAAAAAAAAAGAAAATTATTCAACAAATATATGTTATTTAACATATTTTACACCAATAATCATTTACAGAATACTGGGACATGGGAGATGCAAGTTTTCGTTGTATGTATCGCGGTTCAACGTTTTGGTATGAGAAGATAAAGACTTATTATCAAAATGCATTTATCCCTGAGTACACTGGTTGTTGCACGAATGGTAAAATTCACCTCCCATCTTTTGAAGAATCCTTCACAATTTTTGACAAATTTGCTTCATGGAGATGGCCAATTGAGCAAACATTTTCAAGAGAAAACAAGATCTTACAATAACATGTCCGGTTTTACTTTGTTGTGGGGGGAAGGGGAAAAATCGATTCAGATATCAATAAGGGGATCGGGCCATCAGTGTTCTCTTTACATGGACAGAATTATCATCTAATCGATAGCTTGCTTCCTTCTGAATGTGCATCTCCAAAGTTTGCACAATTGTATATATATGATACAGAGAATGATATTTTTAACAGAATGAATGTTGTGAGGTATGAATTTACTTTATTTGATATTTAATATTTTGTTATAAATTTTATACTATAATAATGTGTTCTTGATATAGATTTTTAAACATTATATACAATTTAGATATAATTGTTATTTATTTTTTACAAAAATGGATCTGGCGGAAATTGTAGCGCCCCGATTATAAAAAGTAAATATTTCAATTTTAGTGGGGCATTAACAGATTTTGAAAACTATACTTGCGCCAAAACCAACATTCTAATTTTGAAAGTACAAAGGTATTTCAGCATTCACTGTTTCGCACTCTCATAACATAAGTCATAAAATCTTTAGCATTCTGAAACTTCGTGAACTTAACCCAAAACATATCACATTCCAAAACTCAAGAAATATAATTCATTCAATTTTAAATAATATGTCTCCACCAAGTATGACAACATCAACTAAGTCAAAAACAATAAGTTTCACAAACCAAAGTCATGATTCTAAAGAACAAATATCCCATTTAAACATAAAAACATCAATCAAGTTTGAAAATAACCACTGTTCATGTGTGATTTTACACCATATTTATATAGTATCCAGAGCTTATTCATTGCATTATTGGTATAAATTGCATATTTCTGCTTTAATTCTCTATTTGTTAGAAAGGTATTACGCGTGCTTGTTTTGTAGATATTTTCACATATTTGTAGAGTTTGTGGCTATTGGAGGCGCACGTGGAGTACCTAGGACCCCCGGGATGATGAAGGATTGATGCACGGATGAAAAAAATAGAAGAAACGAGCAAACGAACAAAAACGTGCATGCTGGGGTGTGACCCCGGGCAGTGACACGGGCACCATGCCCGTGTCAGAGGTCATGTCACCTCAACAAAAAGAATTCGAAGCTCAGGGACCTGACACGATCCGTGACATGACCCGTGACACGGGCGTGTCTGGTCGTGTCGCACACGCGGGCAGTTGTTATTCCCTTGCCTTTTTGGATAAGGCTAAGAGTTTTGGACATTATAAAAGGCATATTAACCCTATTCAAAAGGAGGAACTGGGAGGATACAAGGAGAAGGGCTTAGAACACACAAGAGAAGAAATTGAGGAGCAAAAAGAGGATCAACTACGAAGGGATCAAAGAGATTGAAAGATCGACGAGATTCCTAGTTTTTATTTCTTCTTTCCTCTTGAACTTTTATTGATCATGTCGATTGCGAATATGTCTATGTGTTTGAATTCGAACATGGGTAGCTAGATTTATTGATTCTCAGACATGGTAGTAGATTAATATGTTGGGATTTTGGATGATTTATTATAACTGATTGTTTTTCTTTAACCCTATTCAAGTATTTTGTTCTTATTCCATGTTTACAACTTGATCAATTCTTTTACATGTTTGACAATATTGTTCATAATTCGAGAGATGGGTTCAATATTAGGTCTTTAATACTTGACATAATTTACTTGCTTGAATCGAGAGATTAGTAGGTAATTGTGAGGATTTTAGATTTTTTAATCTATTTGGAGTTGAATTGCATGTGTTGAGTGGAGACGCAAATATATGTGATTTAATCTACGGTTTTATCGATCTCGATAGGGACGATAGGCTAATTTTGTGATCATCTTATAGGGTAGATAAAGAAACTAGTTAATTGTGATATATCTGAAGGAACTCAATTGTTAATTGAACCCATAGTCTTAGAATCTACCATTCCCATATATTCTTCTTAAGTGTTTTT